CTCGACGGTAAGCCCGAAAAGACGTTGCGTTAGAGCAGCGTCAGGATAAGGTACAGAAGAGGACGGTTGTGGCTGAGAGGACAGGGACGAGGCTTGATGGGAAGTATCCATCTGGTCTTGGTGAACCGAAGATGGAGCAGAGGCAGAGGACGAAAAGGGAAGACGAGAGACGGGAAGAAGAGGTGGCGGCAAAGACGGAGATGACGGCAACACAGGAAGAGTGATTCCAAAGTATCCATCTGGTCTTGGTGAACCGAAGATGGAGCAGAAGCAGAGGACGAAAAGGGAAGACGAGAGACGGGAAGAAGAGGTGGCGGCAAAGACGGAGATGACGGCAACACAGGAAGAGTGATTCCAAAAAGAGTACGAGAGGAAGGCCGCACAGAAAGCCAACGGGATTGAAGATCAGCTGGGGTGAGAAAAATTAAAGTGTTAAGTTCCGTTTTTAGAAAGTATCCATCTGGTCTTGGTGAACCGAAGATGGAGCAGAGGCAGAGGACGAAAAGGGAAGACGAGAGACGGGAAGAAGAGGTGGCGGCAAAGACGGAGATGACGGCAACACAGGAAGAGTGATTCCGAAAAGAGTACGAGATGAAGGCCGCACAGAAAGCCAACGGGATTGAAGATCAGCTGGGGTGAGAAAAATTAAAGTGTTAAGTTCCGTTTTTAGAGATTCAAAGTCTTGAGTAAAAGGAGGGGGAAGTTGAGAAATATCGAAAACGGCGAAGAGGGTAGCTAGATCAGTAAATTCAGAAAGAATACCTTCGAAAATAGACACTTGCCCAGAAGGATCTGGGGAAACATATGCGCGATCAGTAGAAAGAATTAAACGCGCGAGACGGATGATGGACGAAACGAGAGAAAAGGTAGAGGGGGACGGAGACGAAACAGAAACGGGAAGATCCGGTAAGGGCGCGACAGAAGGGGCAGTGGAAGGGTCGGAAGCAGGATGAGAAGGAAGAGACTCACGTAAATCCAACTCACAAAGAGGAATAGCCTCTCCAGATGACGATGTAGTAGCCATGGGCAACAGGGAAAAAAAGGAAGTTTAAAAAAAACTAAGATCGCGAAGTTTACGCTCTGCTACCAATTTTTGTGCCCGAATTAGCACAAAAGCTGGTAAGATTTTCGAATTAGATAAAATGAAACACTTCAATCAGGTGTGGGGTGCACCTGGGGATCTTGCTTTTCAAGATCCCAAAAGTAAAAGATATAAGTATATTTCAATTAACCCCAAGATGTCAATCACAGGAAAAAATGAAACACTTCAATCAGGTGTGGGGTGCACCTGGGGATCTTGCTTTTCAAGATCCCAAAAGTAAAGATATAAATATATTTCAATTAACCCCAAGATGTCAATCACAGGAAAATCACACACAATCACAACCAACTTCAACAAGATCTAACAGAGTACTGATTTTGATTGATAGAAAATGGCGGCGTCAATTCTCTCCAGTAGAATGTTCTGGAATGTTCCTGTGGATTCCTGAAACTAATCGACATTTATTATTGCAGGTGTTTGCGGTACCCGCAATCGGAGGACGGTACGATAATGTACCGAATTATTCCGCCACAGCAAGGAAGTGTTGCCAAAGGGTGGGGCTATAAGCAGTTAATTTTTTTTTAGCATAGTTGAATCTCAGGTGGATCTATTTTAAAAAAGGCTCGAAACTTCATGAACACCTTTCTTGCAGAACTGCGCAGGAGGAAAACGCATCGACCCGCCCACAAAAACCGTGACGTCAGATGAAGACAATTTTTCTTTCGTTTTTCGTTATGTTATAGAAAATGAAGAAAAATCTGCCGAGAAGGAAAATGTTTTGGAGTGCTTTTCTTGTTTGTTTTTTCTTTTCACCGAAATTATAAATCAAGGTATCGATTACGGCATTGGAAAGGATACTTGCCCAAGATGTCTTGGATCGATGGGATCGGCCCCACGTCTGGGTCCGCTCTGCTCCTCAGGGCATCCGAATTGATCTGGCTCATTACAGAAGAAAAGAGAAGAACGAAAACTGTACAAGGTAAAACAAAACAAAACCGAAACAAAAACGAATGAATGCCCCAGGTATTCAATGATACCAGAGGCGTACCATTTGTTCAAGCAGGATTTGTACTATACGGGACTGTTTTTCTTTCCTTCTTCATCTGCAGAGTCTCAAACACAAGTAAAAGCCCAGGATTATTCCGGCATTTTTCATATTGAATATCATGAATGATCCACGAACTTCGGGTTTCCGTCGAAGATCCAATAATGATATTCAATTTACTTTTTGCATGCGTTTCGGAAATTAAAGCTTTTATAGGTGTGGTTGCATTTTCAATTCAGATTCTGAGCTACCTAAAACTCGCATCCATCTCTAATAAAGTTTAATAATAAGTCTAAGAATTTTTTACAGTCAAAATCAAAGAGAACAAGGAAAAACTATGAACATTTCGAGTTTTTCAGACACGTGGAAACAAGACATTTTCTTGAGAAAAAGAATTACTTCAAGGTTAAAATTGTTAGTGACATTCTGGACTAATTCTTATTGCTGTATAAATTAATTGAGCAGGGTGCTGAATTTGGAGGTGAGGGTTATGATGTTGTCCAAATGGTCATTCCCTTCCTTTTTCTAAAATCATCCAGTTTCAAGTCTTTTGCTTTCTCTTTCTTTCCCAGGTCCCCAGAATAATAACCCCAAGGCCTAAAAAATTCAAGCTGTAGACGTTTGATGGGAAAGAAGTCTGAGTTGAAGCCCATATTGAATATGTCTCACTGAGTTAAAGGGGTTCAAATCATTTGTTATGTAGAAATTTCCAACAGTGGAATGCCTCCATTCCAGCAAGTAATTTTGATGCTTACAAATTGTTATGTGGAAACAAATGAGTAAATGAAATGGAATCATAGAAATGCATCCTCAGGAAATTCCATGAATTGACCTTCCAACATTTTTTCTTCACTTCCAGGCTAAAGTATTTACATAGATGCTCAGAACTTCTAGTCCATGACACACAAGACATTTGGAAGCATAAAGTAAAAAAATCCTTCAAAGTATAAAAAGGGCTACTGAATTCATGTTCAAACACATGCCAAACAAAGCTTTCATAAGAAAAATATTCCTAGAAAATGACACACGAATTGGAATGGTTTATTCAGTAAAATCTTTCTACAAAAAGCTCTTTGGACATGGAAATAATACTGGAGTTTTTCAAATGATAAATTTACTATAAAGCAATTCAAATAATTGTATGACTTTTCAACAGAGACCTGAAAAATGCATTTGCTGCAATGAATAATTTGATGTAATAATCTTTAAATGACACAGGCATTATCCTGCAACTCAACCTACTCCTGCAGTTAAAAATGCATTTGTCGCCATTGATAATTTGATGTAGTAAGATTTAAATGACACAAGCAGTACCTTGCAACTCAACCTCCTGCAGTTTGATGGTCAAATTTTCTGAGCGGTTGACTTGCAATTTGACCTCTTTCCTACAATTCAAACACTTTTCTAGTGTATTTTGCTGTTTTAAATTTTGTGGAGTGTCTCACAATTTGACCACTTTGCAATTCAACCCTTGTCTGGAAATGGACAATGTCAAATTGTGGGGTACCATCTATGCAAGGGGCCTCTCTCCACAACAATCTTGTCTATAACAGTTTTTTTGTATATATTTTTTTTATCCCATGGGTTTCTCACCCATTTCATCAAAGTCATCTAAAACAAAATTCTCTGTGCAACTAATTTATTTGTTGATCTTCTCAATTTTGTTGTAGATTGTAGAGTTCATAAAGATTCCTTTGATATCTATACTGCACTGAAATTTTAAAATCACTTATTTCAAATGAAAAATTCGGCAAAAAGAAAGTTGATAAAAGAATGCTTGGAGTATAAAATCTATCCTTTTCAGTCTCTCTCTCTGTGATTCAAAACATTTTCCCAATTGCGAAAGAAAAGTGTCACGTACAGCCTTGTCCTTGTTGATGAGTTTCACCTTATCACCTACATACACTTCACAAATATCCCCTAGGCTGACATTCTTCAGAATTGCGTCTGTTTCTGATAGTTCAAAAGAGCCTGGACACACGCAGTCATACGTCATTGATCTCCCTGCATCACGCAAACATAAATATCTGCCAGAAATGAGAAGATTCGCAAGAAATGTCTTCTTATTTCCCAGCATCCTCACCATCCTTCAAGTAATTCCAGAAAAATTGCATCAAAACTTGGGGTATACTATACAGGGTACAGGGTAGGAAACCCTGGCAATGTCTGGCATATAGCATTACTAAGCCGGGTCACGCAATCCTCCCTTATACGTTCAAGGGAAACCCCTCTCCCCCCCATCCAGGAAAAACAAGGTCGCCTGGCAAATTGGATGTGAGGGACGGAACAAGTTAACGGGCTGCGGCTTACGGTCATGGCGTCCTCCTCATCGGAACTGTTGGGTGTCCCATCCTCGCTGATCCGCTGATTCATTTCCGTGTTCTCTTCCGAATACTCAACGCCCACTTCTTCCATCTGCTCTAAGGTTTTTTTTTATCCCATTGTACCAAAAACAAAAAAAAAACAAATACACATGTACGGTGAGACCCCAAAATACGGAAATCCGGACCTATGACAAATTCGACTTGGAGGCACTTGGGACTGAGAAAAAAAACCGCCCCTGACATCCAGACAGTGACTCAAGATATATAGACACTTTTCCGAAATATCTGAAAGAATAATACAATTATATTTTGATATTTTATTTATATCTGCTGGAGAGAATTGAGCTATCAAAATAAAAAAAAAATGCTCAGAATAATTTTCTGAATGAACTATATGAAATTATGAAATACAATTGCCTTTTTCTTCAGCAGATGGATTCTCTCCGCCCTCAGCGCTACTTCAGCTTCTTTTGCCTTTTTTGACTCTGCTTCGTGATGAGGCAGGATCCTGGTTTTTATCACCTGTGATAAAAAGTATATAGCCTGCAAGTGAATGAACCCATGACATGCATTTATGGTATGAATTTATGGACACCATAAAATAAAATCATCCCCTAGCTTTCTGATCTTAAAATTTGAATATAACCCTAGCCCCAGTTTGATAAGCAACCCCTGCTTTTATTTAATAAAAAGGCAAAGTTTTGGAAACAAAATGCATAAAAACACCTTTTTAATTGGAATTGAACATGAATTGCACGGATTTCCATTTTGGTTTTCATTGCATATAATTCTTTGTTGAAATTCCTTAATTTGTTCTCCATATGGATCACATATAAATTTTTTTTTATTTTTAAGATTTTTATAAATTAAATTTCGGCTTATGAAGCACCCCTTTTAACTTGATTTTTACTGAGAGTATATTTTGCACTTGAGTAATTGCAGCAATATGACACACGAATTCTATAGGGACAAATATTCACAAACATTTTCTGATCTTATGGAAGTTTGCATGTTTGACTTACTCGAAATTGTATTACAGTTTTTTAAAATTTAATTACAAAAAGTAATGCATTCGTTTCTTTGTATGAAGAATTAATGCGATTATTCACTTTGCGGGGTTATGAAGAATGCTTCCCTATTCCGCAATTTCACCCGGTATATTCCATCATATATTTTCAAGGTACAGTATATGATGGCTCATATAAATAGTAATTATTTTTCTCATTTCGGCAACCAGGTCGCAAAAAAGGCGATGAAAGTGTAGTGCTTTTATCCCGGAGACAAGATCATTGCGGGAACATCACCCACGCAATTTCTCTCCCATGACGCACATGACGTCAGTTGCTATATGATGTTTTCAAGAAGAGCTCTCAGAAACTTGAGCATTTCCTAGATTGGGCTGAGGAAGTGAAAAGTGTCTCGCAGTTTCTTAAAAGTTTAAAATAATCAGGTTAGTTTGCTGATTTTTTTTCTATGAGCTAAAACTTGCAGAAGGAAAGATAAATAAACAGGGGGTTGAGATACAGCAAACTGCCTTCTAGGAGTATACATATAGCATATAAAAATACTGTACAAACCTCATCAATCCAAACAGCAAAAGAAGCAGCGTTTCTCATCATTTCTGAATAGAAAGAATCAGTCTGGGAATTGTTGGAGTCTCCGTCTTTAAAAGCATCTGCTGCTGCCTGTTGACAAAAATAATGCCATCAGTACAATGACATACAAATATATGAAAATGTTGATTTCCTCATGGGAACGTAATTGTGTCAAATTATATTTTTCTGATACACTCACAAGAATCAGTGCTTGATCCTAAAACATATTTTTAAAATATAATTCTTTTCACGATAATTTTCATTGCAATCCCTTTGCTTAATTTTTAATCAAATTCATTTTGTGAGATTTCCCATCTTTTACCTCACATTTAAAATCCAGATCTTTGTTGAACAAAGTTGAAATGACTGTATTAATCCATTTTTCAAATTGTTAATGATTGGGGTTCTGTTTGAATAATCAGACCAAAGTGTCTCGCTTTTTAATGCTGCAAATGACAATCATAAAAAATCATTAAACAACTACCTTCCTCAACTATAGAGGACCAAGAAAAAAGTTTAGCTTTACATATGATTTCTCCTCACAAACTCTTTTTGAATTGATTAATACATTAAAAATCATCTGAAAGCAGGCTGAACGCCTTTAGTTTGGATTTTTACTGAGTATAATTGCTGATGGCAGTGATTTTTTCATCCCAAAGATGATGGCACTTATTTATTCATGAATTTGCATTTACTGTCATGTGTTTTCTTTTGATACTAAATTTGTGATTTTTTCGGTTTGCTGGGATGTGTTGAATGAATGTGTAAAAATTCCATGGACTTCATGCCTGCTGCTGAGAGGCAGAAAAAAGCTTGTCTATCATCGACCAATTAATTGATAAACAATGCACTTCCTTGTTTTTAATTCCAGAAAAATATTAATGGTCTGATTTTTGCACTTAATTTTTTCCCTTTAGAGAAAATTTTTACATTTTTGGTGAGATATGAGTAATTACTGATTTGATGAGAGTTTAAGTTCACTGAAATTATATACTCTGGATTGCAAAAAGTGGTCGAAATCATAATCTGTGAAGTCGTGAAGCAAAAATAAAAAAAAGCTTACACATGATCGTGTTTCTGAGCATTAGCAGCCCATCAGTACATCAACAGCAAAAGGGTCTTTTGGGGAAAAAGGGCACTTACAGTTTGCAGAGCATCGATAACTTCGTCTGAGCAATATCTGGTGTCAACATTGCCCAGATTGCGTCTCGCTGCCTGGAAACTGTTGGCAGCTGTTGTCAGGTCATTTCTGGCGTCTGCTCTCTTCTGCTCTGACCTTTGAAAAAGAAGATATAGGAAGGACGCATACAGATATTTGTTTGAAATGCCACTTGATAAATTGATCAAAAATTTTGAGAGAAAAAACTAACTCATTTCTGTCACTGGAGTTGGATTCTGACGCGCTGGTGATTTTCAGGAAAGCAGTTACCATGTTTGACCTCGCCTGTGTCCATCTGGAAAGGACGTCTGTGACTTGTTCTCTTCGTTTGTCGAAAATCTCCCATTCCTGCTCTAGCTGGTTCTCTTTCATACTACCGTACTCCCCTCCAAAAACAGCATCTATAAAATGCATAAAAAGGCATGCATATATATATATGCAGTATAAGCTTGTTATATACCAAACTCCCTGAGATTTGATGGAAGATTTCGAATGCTGAAAAATGTCTTGAATTCATGGCTTTTAACAAATTTCAGACTGAGATTTTGCAGCAAATGGGGAATAAATAGTGTGAATGCTTTTAAAACAGATAATTGAAGTCCTGCCATACTTTCCAAGTACAGTATATTCATTGTGAAGAAATGAAGAGACAAGTTAGGAATAAGCAGTGCCTTCTTCCTAATAAACCTGCCTTGTTAATGTGTCATTTGTCTTGAAAATATAGAATGAAACAAAAGTATTGCATACAGGAAAAAATGCACTGCCTTCTGTAGCTCATTAATTTATGTCTGTTTGTTCTTTGAAATATACAGTACTCTAGACAAGTTTTCCCCAACCCAAGGTCTGCAGACCAGTGCACAGACGTTTCTTGCCAGTCCGCAGGGCATTTTCAGCATACTACATTTATCAAAAGTAGCAATGAACTCTTTCAGCATTATCTGAAATTTCAGAAGGACATGGGAAGGCAAATAAGGCAGTTGAAAATATCTGATGAAAAAAAGTTGGCTTTTCTTAACGCTGTAGACACATTTTCACCTGCTGAAATCCTTTATTTAACTTTTCATTCTGAGAAACCTTTCTAAAAGCCCAATTTTCCAAGTCTTTCATGACATTTAGCTACAGCTAATTCACATAGGGGCTCAACATAATTATTCCAAGAATGTACAGAATCAAGACCAGATAGTCATCATAATGAGATTGCAGCCGAAAATGCGTTTTTTTGAAATGCCATTTTATGAATTGGTGCCTTTGAGAAACTGCCACAACCAAGAGGAAAATATTTTGAAACAAAATATTTTATGAATACTGTACTTTGCACTGCAAAATTTTTAAAATCTCACCATTCGATGTACAGAGCATTACAAATTCACGGTTTGTTTCGAAAATTTATTTTTCTGCTCAAAGAATGCAAAGTCTGAGTAGTCATGATACTTACCAAGAACAGTATCTTGTTTTGAGTACAAGTTTTGCAGCTCCTCGGCTTCTGCCTCCAGGGATTTTATTTCCGAGCTCAACTGCGCTTTTTGTGCCTCAAGAGACCCAAGTTCAGATGTGAGCAGAATCTGCAGTGTTGCACGAAGATTTAGTTTTATTTATTTATATATTTTTATTTCTTACACTGCATACATATATTTTGGGAAGAGGATAGCTACAAAGACGTCGAGGAGAAGATGGTCTTACTTGTCTGGTCAAAGCATCTATCTTGTCTTGATCTGCATTTCCTTGCGTCTCTGCTTTCAGAATGCCTTCCAAGGAAACCAGGTCAGCTTCTGTGTGACCTCTATTGTAGAATTGGATGAGTGAACAAGAATGAGGAATGGTTACTTGCAATGCATTGATCATACGGAAGGTGGGGATCTCCAGGGAATGCCTGATGGAAACTCAGTTTCTTTTACATTCTCTTTTTGAAGAGAACAGGCGGAAAAAAGTTCTTTTTTAAATTAGAAAAGCTTGTTACTCGAGACATTTTTTGAATCAGTGCATGTCTGAATACTGTGTATTGATTAAAAATTAGGTGATACTTGAAGTTTGTCACACTGGAATTGTCTCATTTTCTACTGGATGAAAGGAGCAGTCAACGGAAAAAAGCTTTGATGTTTTTGGCTGGTGAAACAAAAAGTTGTTAGACATTCATCCTCAGGAATTCACAAAAATCTCTATGAAAAACTAAATGAATCCAAATTACTCATAGATTACAGATTTGTGTATTTATTTGTTTTCAGTGGAATATGAGTATAGCAACCTGCAATGATTGTCAGCAATATGGAGGGGAAGTGGGGAATTGATTGCCTTTGGAACTTTATCAAATCATATTCCTTAATACTGAGAAGGTTCAGAGTAAAGGTGATACCTTGCAATTTTATCAGCCCAAAATGCATCTGTTCCACAATTTGACTTTCAAATTTCCTGGGAGGTAAATTGGCAATTTGACCTCTGTCCCACAATTCAACCCACAGAGATTCAAAACATTGAATACAGTATAGAAAACATTGCATTTGACCTTGTCTCACAATTTGTCTCACTACTTCAGCAACATATTACAGTTGAATTTCGGGGTACCAACTATAAAGTAGGTACAAGTAAGTAGATACAACTACTAGGAACTCGGAAGTAGATACAATGCCAACCAGCAAGTATATAACTTTTTCCAGCAAAAATTGTCTTCAAGTATAAGAGCAAATTATCAGACTCTCCACAGACTCAGACTTTGGCCTTAGTTTTTATAGTTCATGTTTATTTCACATCAGCGCTCTTGGTCGCAAAATTTAGCAAAGATATACGAAATTTGCTGCAGAAGGGCTATATAAGAAATTAAGAAAAAAGTGTGACACAACATGATGAGGTGGGGGAAAAAAAAAACTTTCTGCTCAGCCTTTATTTCATTGTACCTCACAGGAAGCAGGAATATGTAAGGCTATAGCGGGGTGGGGATAGATAATCCCTTTCGCCCTGGTGAAGCTCACGTTTTCTGTTGCATTTCAGCCAGCTCCAGGGACTTGGCTCGGATATCCTTCTCCACGTCAGCGAGTGTGAGGAAGTTGAGGCGCATTTTCTGCCAGGGATTCCTGCTTTCCCGCAGCCTGATGGCCTGCTCCAGCTTCAAATACTTGCGCAGCGCCTTTGCAACACCAGCATTCGGGTTCTTTTTTTTTTTTTTTTTTTCAGACCATCACGTT